AATAATTAAGAAATCTTGAGGAAAAATAAATTTTTATATTAATAATTTTTAATTTTTTGATTAATTAGATCAAGAACCTTCAAAAGATTCACAAGTAAACTGGATTGGTGGTACAATTATTTTGAGAGGAAGCAATCGACAGATTAATAGGGTTGATAAAATTTTTGAATTGATGGTATTTGTAGCTTGTAATTTAAAATTAGAAATGTGCTTGTTCAGAGATCATTCAGCATCAAGGATAGATCAAAATGAAGGACAAGATGCTATGGAGATCGAATCAGTTTTAAAATCTACAAGACATACCTCTAAACCTTCATGGTTTGGATGGCTGATGAAACATAATAATTTGCCGCATGTAAAAGAACATCAAAGACAAAATTTACATCAACATCAACAGCATGATCAAAATCGTAATCATCAGCATAATCATAATCATTCGCCATTATCTAAATGGTCTACAACTAAACATCAAAATTCAATAACAAAAGCACCGTCAACAAGTAATTCTTCAATTATTAATGATAATGAAATGGCAATTTTAGCAACCAATAAATTTTCTAGGGCTATAAAACAAATGGAAGAAATTATATTGTCATCATCTCCTGGAGTGAAATTTCCTCCGCCTCATCTTTTAACAAGATTAAAAGAAGAAGAAACTTGGATTACTTTACATACAACTCAGTATGATGATGGCGATAATGATGATACGTTTAGATCATACGCTGTAAATGATATTATTGACCTGACTAAAGATTATTCAAATGGTAACACTATATTATCAACCAATCCAACATATACAGGAAAATATAGAACTTACTATTCATCATTATCAAAATTTAATCAAATATCGTTAGATTTCAAATCTGGTCTTTCATATCTAATGACAAACAATAATTCTTTGAACGGAGTATTTAAGCATCAATCAATTTCATGTTCTTATTCTAAATTTTGGTCTCCAACTTCACTTTCACCTTGTCATAATCATAAAATAATTACATTTGAATATTACAATAGGTATAATAATAATGCTGATAAAACACTTGGAGAAACATTGGAGTATCTTTATCAACAGGCATATAAAGAATGCGAAGAGCCAAGTTGTGACAAATGTGGCATTGATCATATAACAACTTATACACATAATATTGGTAGAATTTCAATTACATTAGAAAAATCATCTGATCTCAATTTAAAATCCCTATCTAACAATAAAATAATATTATGGACACAGTGTAAATTATGTTCTTCAAAATCACCATTAATTGAGATGTCGAACGCAACGTACTATTATTCTTTTGGAAAATATTTAGAAATTTTATTTTATAATGAAGTTTTTTCATTTAAAGATTTATGTCCACATGTGGAACTAAGGGATTCTTTAGTTAGGTGTTTTTACAAAGATGAATTGGTGGCGAAGATTGAATATGAGCATGTTGATTTGTTTGAAATGAGGTTACCAAAGATACAAATTAGTCATGATATGACAAAACAAAATAATATTAATGCTGAATATGAAGATATCGATAAAATGTTCATGATTGATGAAGAAGACACAAAAAGGCTGTACAATGAAACAAGACTCGAGATTACTCATTTTTATGGTAGCGTTAAACAACATATAACCACATTGGAAGAGTATTTTATATCTTCGCATGATATAAAGCTTAAAAATAATGAAAAAAACGCCACTACAACTGTTGTCGCTGCTGTTGATAAAAATAACAAAGACAAAATTGAACAAGAAAAAGGAATCAAATATCAAGATCATCTTAAAATGTTGGAAGAATTATCAAACACTTTTCGTAGAGAAGAGTTTGAACTTTATGATTTATTAAAAAGGACCAAAGCTACAATGTTAAATAATGTTAGGAATCGATTGGTTGAAAGAATTGATGCAACTAAAAAAAGATTATTGTCTTGGCAACAAACATATATACCAAAAGAAAATCAAGAAGAGTATTCAAATATTAATTGGGTTGAACCTGAATATTATAGGTAAAGTTTATATATATCTTGGATACCTATATATTTTAAAAATAAAAAATGAATAATAAATAATAAACAGAAAATTTCTTGACGTTTTATAGCTCAAAAGAATGCTATGTTTTTCCTGGATCTCCGATAATCATAAGAGAAAATGAACCAAGTTCAATTATCGCATGTACGTTGAGGTAATTATTATTATTATTTATTTGTTTATTTTTTTGTAAAAATAATTTCTTGATATATGCACTCATATGTTTTATTTTTTTCTATTCATAGTTCAAAAGATTATTTAAAAGAATTATTATTAATGAAAAATAATGTGAAATTGACATCAACACAATCAGCACCAACCACACCATTTTCGGAAAATAATAACTCACCACCATTGTCATCAACATTTTCTTCACTTTTAAACAATCTAAGTCGTCCTTCAACAATTAATTCGGTGCAAAAAAAAAGTAATCACCCAACACAATCACCTTCATTAACAGAAATTGATCCAGATGGTTTTACGCTGATTGATCAATATTCAACAAAAACTAAAAGAAAATTAGTACGTGAAAACACATTGCCTGGTAGTACTATAGGTGATAGAATCACATATGGTATTGAAACACTTGGATCGATGAAAGGATTTAATTTAACTCTATCAAAAGATAAGAAAAAGAATCAAAAAGATAATGGTGAAAATGAAATTTTTGATGAAAAGAGTAATAATAATAATAATAATAATAATAATAATAATAATAATAATAATAATGGTAATAGTAACAGTGGTTTGAACTCTACAGCAAATATTCCAATAATTGGAAAACTTGGAGGAATTTTTGGTTCAGTTCATAATAATACAGAGGAATGCGAAAAATCAAATGAAATAAATGATTATAAAGAAAAAAAAGAAATTAATTTGGAAAAAGCCAAGCCATTAACATTTGTAAAAGGCCATCGGCAAGAAGAAAAATTTAATGAGAAACATGTTTTCCCTCAGGAAAAAGATCCTCCCAAAAAAAAAGAGGAGCAACAACAACCACCACCATTACATTCTACACCACTTCCACTTACTCCACCACCAACATCAAGTGGATTAGTTGATGGATTTACTTGGTCTAGACGTAATAGTCAAAAAGATAAAGAAAGAGATAGTCCACATTTAAAACATGGTACAAATTGTTATAACCATTAAGCATTATTATTAATTTATTATTACATTATATTAATTCAAAATTTTTTAAGAATGTATACACGGAACTAAGAAATTTACATGTACCGTTTATTATGCAACACAATTTGATTCACTTCGACGTAGATGTGGTATTGAAAATCTTTGTATTGACTCATTGTCAAGATGTACAAGCTGGCAAGCTACTGGTGGGAAAAGTTCTAGCACATTTTTCAAAACAAGTGGTAAAATATATTGTTATATAATTGTAAATTTTTTCTCCACATTTTCTAAAATGACAAATCTTCTATAAACTAGATGATCGACTTGTTATAAAGCAAATGGTATCATCTTGGAGAATAGCAGAAAAAGATGCACTACTTAAATTTGCACCAAAATATTTTGAATATATGGATAAAGCACCAAATGTATAAATTTATAAAAATATATCTATTATGCTATGCTTTCTTTGAATAGTAACAATAATAGTAATTTCTTTTAATTAAATATTCTTAGACACCATCAGTTCTTGCCAAGATATTTGGATTTTATACTATAAAGATTAAAGACACGAAAAAAAATAATATAATATTAAAGATTGATGTGCTTGTGATGGAACATTTATTTTTTGAAAAGACTATAACCAGGGTAAGTTACTATTCAATTGCTTTTGTATAAAATATATACTCATATTATAATATATTTTAATTATAGTATTAATAATAATCAATAATAATTATAATACTTTTTTAAATTAATTTTAGAGATTTGATTTAAAAGGAATACAAGAACGTCATATCAAAGAACAACAGCAGAAAAATGATGTTACATTATGGGACGGTGATTGGGTAGAAGGTATGAATAACAATATCTTTATAATTATAATTATAATTATTTGATTATTTATATATATATGTTTTGTATAGGCCGATATAAATCCCTTTTACTCATACATTCGCATTCAAAAAAAATAATAAGAGAGGCTATACTTAATGATACACAATTTTTGGCTGATGCTAATATTATGGATTATTCATTGTTGGTTGGTGTGGATGACGAAAAGAAAGAATTAATTGCAGGAATAGTAGGTTGGTAGTACTGTTTGGACTATGTAATGTGTATTTAATAATTATTAATACGAAATAATGAAATCAATTGATGAATAGATTTTATCGGTGCATATACATTTTATAAGAAATTGGAGTCTAAAGGTAAAACTATTGGACGTAATGCAAAAGAAGTAACTGTCTTGCCACCAGATCAATACAAAAATAGATTTAGGGATTCAATGGAACAATATTTTTTGGCTGTTCCTGGTATATATATATATTAATTGATATTTATTTTTGAATCAAAAAAAAAAATTTCTAAATTAACATGATTTTATTATAGATAAATGGATAAAATCACCAGCAAGTGATAAAGTGTCGAATAAACGGAACAAAACAACGAACATAGCCAATAAAATGAATGCATTCAACAATACAAGGTTTTTATTTGGCTAAAAGAAAACATGGTTAATTAATTTTTATCAAAATATAATGATAATGATGATAATATACTTACAGCAAGTAAAAACCAAATGATGGATAATGTACCAGCAGCGACATTATACCAACTAACACCTTCAACTGTGACATCATTAGCAGGTTCAAACCATTGATAAATTATGAATCCAAAAAGTAGAGCTTGGATAAAGAACCAAATACAAAAGGTGTAAAAGGCTGGTAAAATGTAAACATCATCTCTGTCTTTTTTATCCCGATCCAAGTAGCCACCAAAGACAACAACACCAATAGTTGCAAGGTAGATAAAAATATTTGATAATTTGAGAATTAATTCACGTTTGGACATTTTA